GCCAGCGACTCGCTTGAAGACAGACACCTGCAAGTCGCTCGGAGGCCTCCGCAGCGCCTCAGCTGGCACGGGCCTGAACCCAGCGTGTATGAAATTCAGGGCCATGCAAACGACATGCATGGCTGCTTTCATGTGTCTCTTGGGCCGGCTCCGGCCGCCGCGCCGGCGGGATTTGCTCCCTACAGGAAAAGCATCTGGCAGGGGCAAAGGAAACAAGGCGGTAGGAACGGGAAATGCATCGTCCCGAGAAAGGCGCAAAGTTCGTGACAAGAAGTAAGCAAAGGCTGTCCCAGACTTAAGGACCAAGCGCGGGAGGGCGCCAGCCCAGCTTGAAAAAGTGAATTCTCCCTCGAACGGTAAGCCGGGGCCTTCGAGGGGGCATGCACTGCCGCCCTGGCGGGCTACTTCGGGTTTGCGGCTGCAGCCGCCTTTCTGGCGGCCCACTGTGCGGCTCGTTGCTGCTTTCGGGTCATTGCGGGGTCGTCTGTCTCGGTCGGAGGGACCACNNACAAGGGTAGGCTTCTTGGCAGGGGCATTTGTCTTGGCTTCTGCCCGACGAGTTGTGATCAGGTCCATCTCCCGCACGTACCCGAGGGCCGAAGTGACCCAGGTCTGATCGGCCAGCTGGGAGAAAGGCTGCAGGGACCCCCCTGGCAAAGGCGGTGGGTTCGTGAAAATCGCTTCAGCAAAGTCATCAGCCACGCCACCGTGGTGGACCCCGAGTCCAGGCACAGCTGGTCTAGATAGACCAGGAGGAGGCCTAAAGCATCGGCCGAGGCCTGCGGTCTGTCGGCGGACAGAAGGTCGAAAGCACGGGCCACCTGATATGCTATGAGGCCCATATCCCTCTGGGTCGCGAAACCTCCGAACCTCTCGTAGTACCGGCTTAGCGAGACCGGCTCCTGAAGGGCCACCCCGGCTGGGGCCATCCTGGCTGCAGCTCGTTCTCTCACCTTTGCTGCGAAAGAGCCCGACATCTGAGCCAACTCCCCTGAACTCCGTCTGAAGCTTTTGACGAGACTGCGATCCTCCGGCTGCCCGTGGTGGTCTGTGGGTCCAGCACGGGGTCGGAATTCAGGGAGAGATGTCCTGCCAAGGCGGCCAGGGCCCGGCTCTGAGCCGCCAAGACGGCACTCGCTAAATCCTCGGGTGGCCTCACGTCGGGCAGCTCGCCGTTTGAAATAGCACTCGCCAGCAGGGCGTCCTTGTCTGTCTCCCGCTCTGGTCTTGGCAGAAGGGCCCTCGCAGACGGAGGAGGGGGACCCAGCACTGACGCCAAAGACTTTGGCTCTCTCTGAAAAGGCAGAAAGTTGCTGCTCAAGGGCGCTTCCCGGATCGCTGCCCGAGCGTCTTGCAGGAGGAAACCGCGACCCGACACCTGACCTAAAGCATTCTGACCTGAGCCGGCTCCTGCGCTCTGCACCTGACCAGCAGAGACGTGTGATGCACCTGCCTCCGGGACCTGAGCCTGACCTAGGAAACTGGGGGCGGCAACTGCCCCAGGACCTCGCACCTGACCTGTGGCAACCTGGGGGGCGACTGCACCTGAGCCTTGGGCCTGACCTGCCGCAACCTGGGAGGCAACTGCACCTGAGCCTTGGGCCTGACCTGTGGCAACCTGAGCGGCAAGTGCACCTAGACCTTGGGCCTGACCTGCGGCAACCTGCACCTGTCATCGAGCCCCTCGCAACCTGAGCGGCACCTGTGGGAGGGAAGCCACCGGCGTGAGCGGCCCCCTGCTGCTGGAGCTGCTCGAGCTGTTCGCTTAAGCGCGCCACTATAGTAGTGAGTGTTGCCTGCTGCTGTGCCAGTTGTGCAACGGTAGGTCGCTTCGCCTTCGGGGCGCGCTTCGGGTTCACGGGAGGGACCGCCCCTGGCTCTTCTGCCGTGTGGTATCCAGAGGCTAAGTCCCCGGTGGCGTCCGAGACAATCCACGCACGAGCCTGGACCAGCACGTCCGAAGCCAAAGGAAAGAGAGCTGGGTCGCCAGCCACAAAGTGCTCCCCCTCCAAAAATTCGCGCTCAAACGGACTCAAAAGCATGGTCGACGTTTCGGGAAGGTCGAGGAGCAGGGCGGGGACAGGAGTCGGGGAGTCGGCAGGGACCCACTCCCCATCCGGTGAAAGTGCAACGGGAGAGGGCTGAAGACGAAGGTAGGGGCCCAAATCCGACCCTGCTATCCCCAGGTCCTCGTCTGAAAAGAAAGGGTCCGGAACTGCCAGCAGGAAGCCCCCCTCTCGGATCATGAGCACATAAGCAACACATGACCTCTGACCGTCAACTCCAGGGTCAGGTGGCCAAGAGAACTCCAGGAGCTCGACGTGGCCTGAGCTGGCGGGGCACAAAGTAGAGATCTCCATCAGGCTGGGAAAGCGATCCCAGCCCCGGCGAAGTACGCTCGGGCCTCTGCTTCGGAAGGAAAGGCGTGGCTCACGGACTTCGAAGCACACCGGGCACCGCCTTGTACGCGGCGAAGCTGTGCTGTACCTGCGGGGCAACTCCAGCAGAAGTCTGCAAAATGCAGTACACTCTGTTCGGCAAAGACAGGCGGGGCTGAGAGTCCACAAAATCCCTCACACCTCTGATCTTTTCACCTGCCTGGACGCCGGCCCTCCAGGCACGGGAGATTCGGTCCTCGGCAGAGAGATTGCAAGCACGAATGTGCCTGGCCAAGTCCAGGACAATCTGTGGGACCTGGGTCTGGCTCAGCAGGCCAGGGGCTGATGAGCCCAGCAAGGGGTACTCAGGCACCGAAGAGGAGGACGGAAAGGGTGGTTCGACAGGCACAAAGCGGCGGTCGGAGTAGCGGGTCGCGCTAGAGCTAGGGGGTTCCCGGCTCACACGGGGAGCGCGCTGCAAACGGGCTCGGACGCCGACTCAGACAATGGCTTCTCTGACAACCCACTAGGGGGCAAAGGCAGGGAGGAGGAAGACACTAGGTCAAAGGACCCGTGGGATCCGGCAGGAGATTCGGCAGCTTTTGGCTCGGAGGAGTCTGCAGCTGTCTCAACGGTAACTCGAAGACCCTTAACTTGCAGAGTTATCCTGGGCATCCAGGTACCCACGTAGCCTATCCTGCCTACGCCTAACTAGAGGTCCTAGCAAGGTTTCGGGAGGGGCCCGGGCAGGAGGCTGAGACCTGGATCCCCACGTGAAGTAAATATATACCACCAGGCCAGCCACCGAAAAAGCCCCAACCAGGCAACCAGCGAAGAAACCTGCCAGAATAGCACCAAAAGAGGGTCCCTGGCAATGAGCGGGACACGCAAGTCCCCACCAATTTGTACTTGTGCCCTCCCGCACAATCTCCAGGCCTGCAGAGAACCAGCCGGGGACCATGCCCTAACTTGGTGCTCGAAAACTTGAGCCCGGCACACGGAGTTGCTTCGCACTCGTTTCTACTGTCAGTTTCCAGCGCTTTGGGCACGAGGCCCTGCACTTGCCGCTAACCCTAAACCCTGAAGGCAGAGAGCCGAATGCCCCGCAATCAAACTACATGCCTAGAAATGTGAGATGCGAGAAGGGATACTTTTCACGATTGCTGTATGGGTCACTACAAGGTCACTTTGAAACGAAATGACCTTAAACCCTGAACCCTAAATCGTTAGGTTCCTCAAATATCAAAAAAGACTAAACCCTAAACCCTACCCTAAACCCTAAACCTTTTTCAAGATGCTGGAGGCATATACGGAGCTTCTCAGAAAAAATCAATGCCCCGGGCTCAGGGCTGAAGGTTTCCACTTCATCTTTTTCGGAAACCCCAAGTTTCTGGATTGTAGTAGGCTGTAGTATAGTACAGTGCATTCTCGTACCGGTGCCAAGCTGTGAAGGGCCTGTGCTGGGGTTAAAGTTTAGGATCGTGGGACTTGCATAAGTAGAGTTAGAAGTACCTGAGTTGGGGCTGTAAGTCTTGAAATCTATATATAGTTGCCGTATGCACAACTCTATTTCCTAGGTCCAGCCCTTCAATGAGGGCAAGGGTCCATGAAGTGCGCTTTGTCCGTGCCTACTCAGCCACCAAGTTGAAGTTGAACTGGACCCAAAAGCCCCTCAATCTTGCACGCCAAACCCTCAAGCCCTAAATCTCTCATCTTTGCATGTTCTTGTGCTTTCCAAGCTTCCGGTGAAAACTTGGCGCGGACTCCGGACCAGAGACTGCTGGGCCTCGGGGCGCAGCGAGGGCTTCAAGCTTTGGCAATTCCAAGAAATAGGAGTTTGATCCAGTGGCGGAATATGTTTTTTTCCATTGACCCTTGGGGATACTGACTGTGGCCTACTGATGATGCATGGTGATGCTGATGATCACGGATCACAACATGAAGTTGATGGTGGTGATGACATTGGTGACGACGGAGATCACCGACAGGCTGATGCCGATGACGAAGATGGTGATGAGGATGCTGATCATGATGACGGTGATGGTGATGATGGTCATGGTGATGAGATGATGCTGATGATGACGATGA